TTTATGCCCTGTACAGAATGTAAAGGGGCGGCCGAAGGCTTATAAGTCCCATTTTAGTTGGGTTGGTGGCCTCTTTAGGCTTGTAAATAAAGGTTGTGTCATGTGGACACGTGAGAGAGCTTTCGGTCTGTAATGGACCATTTTACCCTTTGTTGTGCCACTGTTCAGAGCTTGTAAAGTCTGTTTGTAATTTGCATTGTCTATGAAGTGTTTTTCGGACATGTTTGCTTGTGGATCCCGTTTGAGGCGTTCTCTCTAACCCGTTCTCTCTTTTGACGGTCCTAAGGGACAATGGGAGGCTTCGGGGAGGCTGACCTTTGCGGACGGACACGCAAGGGTGCCGCACGTCTTAGGCAAAACCAGCTAAGGTCGTGACACTACGGTGAGTAGTCCAAGGACGTGAGTATTAAGATGGAGATGAAGCAATACTTCAATGGTTTTTTGCTTAAGAAAGATGTTAGTGTCAAGAGTGAAGAAACTATCAGTAGAGAAATATGCTTAGGACTTAGAGATCTACTTTTATCTTTTTGTGGATAGGATTTTTGTATTTGTAATACATTCAACTCTCTATATGTCCTGTCTTTTTGAACCTTGAATGAAATGTGTTTCTTTTGCAGAGTTTTTGTCTTGTGTATAAAAGAAGAGAACTATATGATGAGAGTTAAAGAATACATCGAAGAATAAAATAAATAATAAAAAAATTATTTTATTGCCACGATTCGAATTCGATTACTGACGAACATGCTTTTCTCTTGGATCTTTCTTCTTCTATGTTTTGGATAGTTGCTCTAGTGTCTTGTAACTACAATAATCATCTCCAACTTGATAGTAAAATATAGCAACAAACTATCCTAGCGTGACCTAGGAAAGAACCCACAAAAAAGAAAAAAAATAAAAAAATTACTAAAATGACAAAAGATTTACCATCTCTCGCTTGATAATGATCTTTCATATTTGCACAATGTTTTATTATTGTTTTATTTCTTATGGATAGATGAGAGTAACGTGTTAACCTTGAGATAATTCTTCCACATAAAATATAAAAATTTGAGTTTGAAGAAAATGATCTTTTATGCAAGGTTCACAATATCACTATATACTACTCGACACAAAAGGTACATACGAATCTAATAAAAAATCGATATATCCATACACCCCCATATATTATGTATCAATAAGATTGACAACTAGTTGATATATCAATACAGATCGATAACATGAACCATGCTTTTATGTAAAGACATCAATTTGGAAATTAAACGCACGAGAAATTGTAAGTAAAAACTCACCAATTCAGTAAACTAAAAGCCAAGATGACTGGTGCACGAGAAATTGTAAGTAAAAACTCACCAATTCAGTAAACTAAAAGCCAAGATGACTGGTACACATCAAACAATGACCTGTAAGCCAAGATGACTGGTTACTAGCTCAGTTGGGAGTTTAGCTGTGAGAAAATCCCCGAAAATAATTGCATGATTCAGCTCTGACTACCTCATAAACAGTGTCTGTACCCCTTGGCAAAATAATATAAAACTAGCACATTCAGGTTAAGCATAGATCAGGCATCAACAAAATCAGCTAGTGGAACTGATCAAGTCACAGGTCACTATAGCTGTTTATACAGACATATAACTGATAAAAAATATATATATAATTGCATCTATCGCAACATCCATAACTCAGGCATGAAAACCTTTCACACAAAATAATCCTAATGATCAAAGTTGTAGGAAAAGAGAATGTACTGGACCAGAAGTGTACATACACAAAGATATTAAAGATGTTTCTCCACCACATCAACATGGGAAAGACGTACCACCATATCCTCTTTATAGTTCACCCACAAGAGGAACACATGGAAAGTGATGACCTCAAGAGACAAGTTTCTACATAGAACTAACCCATGAACAGGAATAAATATTTTACAACAGTATAGAGGAAATCCAGGCTAGAAAATGGCATGTCTCCCGGGTTTACAACTACATGAGTGCTTGAACCAGAGCTCTTAACATTTATGGATATGTAAAGAAACTTCAATAAATATTCCAGCAAAATTAGATTAACACTCGGATGTTTCTCGTCGTTGCCATAGTTCTTCCTTAACTAAACAATCCATTAAGCCACATTATCTCCACAGCCTTACCCTAAAACACATCAGGGATTTGTAAAGTTTAAACATTTGCAGTGCAGGTTCACTGCATTAATTTACCTGAAGAATTATTATTATGAGTTCTCCAACATGCCCACAAGCACCACACGGATAATTTGGCTAAACTGCAGCAGCATGATGCAAAATCATAATTGGGCGAACTATCCTCTGAGGAGCTTGTTTCGGGAAAAGGTTTTCTGAAAGAACAAGATTGATGAAGTATCTCTTCCAGCAACCATTCCTGCACATCATACCTGATTTTCCTGTCTGAGCTTCTTATGATCCCTATCAGCACGATCAAATCTTCCTGACGGACGAAAATCATCATAAGTCTCCTGGCTCTTCGAGGAAGACGCATGATAATGTGGTAAGTCATACACATCCTTCGCACTGAAATGTCTACCTGGGGGACTAACTGCTTTTCTTTTCTGGTTGCCAGTCTCCAGTGACTGAATATCCTGACTATCCACTGATAGCTCCCCTTCTTCGGCATTCTCCATTGCCTTCTCAGCCCCATGGTAGCCATTCTCAATTATATGGTCTGGTTCCTGTCGGTAAGTAGGTTTGGACCAGCTATGACTCTTCAGTTTGTTTCTCTCATCCTCAACTGCCAATTCAACACCATGTTCCAACTCCCTCTCAATGAGGTCATCTTCATCCAACAGATCCACTTTTTTGGCAATATCAGCTCGAGATTTTCTCCTTTTCTCCAAAGCAGCCTTCACCTTGTCCTTGTCGATCTTTTTCATAGCAGCCATCATGGGAGAGTGAACTTTAGAACCTTCATTATAGACAGGAATCCTTTCTTTTGTTTCAGCCATGCCATCTGTTGCAGGAATTGCAAGCTCTTCTACTTCTTGTTCGGGCCCATAATGTGATCTGCTGCCAGTGGTTTCTGGATTGTTCACTAGTTCATGATGCCACCAATCCTTTCCTTCCACTTTATTATCAGAAGTTCCAGGTCTAGGCTCATGCCGTGCATGTTCATTACCATCAGCATGCAAAACACCGCGGTTCCCACTAAGCTTATCCGAGTGAAATTGTTCAGGCAGAGAAAGAGTAGATGAGCTTGCTGGGCCAGTACTTTGCAGGGTAGCATTTTTTGACACCTGAGAATACCCACTTTGTGTGGTAGGCTCCTCGAGCTCAACAGGAGCTTTTGCAGGAGCTCGGTGATTAGCTCCACTGGCAGAACTGCCTTCAGTTTCATTTCCATGGGCTGTTGGTGCCGGACGGTTTTGCTCATAAAGTTCCAACATTTGGTTGCTAATCTCTGAAAGAAGACAAATCTGAAAATTAAGGCAATATTAAGAAAATATATAAAAGAAAATCAGGAAAAAGAACTAATTCATTACAGTAGACAATACAAACAATAAATTAAAACGGAAAAAGGCAGAATGTGGTCAGACCGGTTCAACTAATGAGCCAGCTAGCTGAGTGTTCTCACAAACTAGAACAAAGAACTGGTCAGACTGGTTCAGACCGCCTGGTATGTACCAGTCTGAGTGCACTAGTTTCGTTCAAAACCAGGTTTAGATTTTTTCCATTTTTTGATTTGACATAGACAGCTTTTCTTTTAGTTTATTTTCCTCCCATGCTCCTCTCCTGATTCTCTCTTGATGCACCACAAGCTGCTTTGCCACTGTCGCCCATTTCCTCACTTTGCCACCTTCCACCATCTCCGATAATTCTCTTTGGTCTGTGTCAACCAGTATGCCAGTGTCCCATCTAGTAGGCTAGTATGTACTGGACCCAAACTAGTCTGGCCAAGGACCAATACGGTTCTCGAACCAAAACTTAAATCCTTGGTAATTGCCATCAGTCAATGCAAAAAAAAAAGGATAGAAGCTAACTACTGCAAAAAAGCAGTCTGACATTTTACTAGTCAAACAAAACAAGGCACCCAATTGAAACAAGAGACTATTGAAGAACAGACGCATATACACACACAAAGATGTAGAACCCGCACAAGAAAAAAAAAAGACAAAAAAGGGGAATATCATCTTATAAAAACACACAAAGAAAAGATGTCCATGAACAAGCACCTTATTTCATGTGTTTGTTCAAATGGTGTTTTCAAGTTGGCTACTCTATCCATATGATGTCCTACTCGTAGTAAAAAAAAAAAAAAAAGCCAAGGTCTTAGGTTCAGGAGCTGAAAACAAGATTTTTATGCCAATTGGACATATCTCCAGAAAATAATGCTGCAACAAACAACATAGTAACAGGAGCAGACCCTCTTGATACATATAGTAACTGCATTAAAGCAAATTGACCTCAAACTACACTAGATTTTCAACAGTCAAGAACACGTAGCTAGCACTCCAATACCAAACAATGAAAATTCTTGAATACTTATTTAATTAGCACAGCAATAGCTTCAATCCAAATACACAAGTCTCTTTCTGAGGATAATGCTACAGCCAAAAATCTTATCTTATAATTGGACAGGAAAGGGGCAAAGATGTCACTATCAATCCTATCTATAGAAAATCTAATCAGACAATACCTTCCAACTGTCGAGGAGTAACATCAAATTCCTGCCACCATACCTTCTCACCATCTGAAGGAAGCTTTACTTTTAGAAACTTGGCAGCCAGGAAGATGGCACCAGCAGCTATATGATGGGGCTTAAATTGCAGGCAAAGTGAAGTACGGAGCCTGCATGGCCCTTTCCAGTGTGTAGTAAATACACATTACTGAAAGTAAGACTGGAAAGCAGAAAAAATGGTAGTTTTTCATACCCATCATTGACAAAATTCCAAGCAACTTGTGCAAGGGCATTTTGAGCTATCTTAAACTTCTTTATTGCTTCAACAAGAGGCTTGTATGGATGCTGCACATTTAAGTCAAAACCAAGAGTTGCAAGTACCAACCGTTCCCCAAGTAAAATCAGTTCTTTCTGCTGTTCATATACTTCCTGCATATGATAATATTGGATGAAGTTAGAATACAAGTTATCATGACAATCCTCGTAAAGTGTAAGAGGGAAAATGACAACACATACATACATACATACATAAATATTGTAAAGCCATGTCGATATGAAACAGTAGTTCTAAATGTAATTCTCTAACTACAAATGCTAAAAAATGAGAAATAAACATGCCCCAATAAAATAACTGGTTAATTTGAGCCATATTATTTATCGAAATACAATCAAATCTCAGCCACTGCACGGACAAACCTCAAATTAACCTCTCATGAATGTATTTTCTAAGATCTTAAATACCTTATATGCGATGAAGTTCAATAAAGATAAAAATTTTTCCTAAATAAACTGCCATGATAGTCAGCATTAGTGCAGAACAGATTGCAAAATGGGAAGTTTTCCCTTCTTATCATTAGTTCTCTTTTATAAGATAAACACTTATTTTCTTTGGTAAAAACACATCATTTTAAGTATTCTAAATTTCTTACGGTGAAAAAGAGAACTATCAGATATCTATAACTTCCAGTAATAAGAATCGAGTGGAGGAAAACACACAAGAAGTGTGTTATCAAAATATTGGAAGGCTACTTTCTTATAACTTCAAGAAGTTGATGTTTATTGACATACAAGCGGTAAAAGCCTTCAAAATTTAAAATTTTAAAAGCCAAGCCAATTGAATAAAAAAAAGTCTGAAGGAACTTACTAATTGTTGTGTTATGCATAATTAATCCAAGAAGACCAGATATCAATTTACCGATGCAGAATCTCAAAAGTTGATAATTTGATATTTACAAGAAAAACAACAAAACAATCTGCAGAGAGTGAACATACCAATAATGGGCACCTAACACATCTACAAAGAATAACAATTAACAAAATGAAAGGGAGGAGTTAATTTTAAGTACTAGAGATCACCAGTCTTACCCTCTGTTTGATTCTTTGGACTGCAGCAGGATCCTTTTTATGCATAATCTCATAAGAAACGAGAATGACGTCCTTCAATGGTCGAGGAGTTTCTTCCACCTTTCCCGCCAAAAACATGCAAACAGTAGCAATGGTCTGAAAAACATCATGAACATGAAAGATTAAGATTCAGAAAGATAGATGACCCAAAGTTCACCACTAACAAGAAGTGGAAAGAAAGGTGCATTTACTTGGTAAAAAGTTTGTACTAACAAATAACTATAAGTTAAAAATAAGAATGATTCCCCAACAAGCTACAAGAAACTAAAAAGAATCAACCAGCTTAAAATCTACTAATTGCATACACAAGAACCAACACAATTGGTTCAAGCAAAGAAATGATTTTCATTACAAGTGCACATGCCATACAGCAGCTAGCACAGTAATCGTCACACTGATGCATGCTCTTTTACTTCGGATGTCAATTGGTTTTTGTATATTGTGGGGAAGGCCAGAGTGACATTGGTAGTGAAAAGTATCAAGAGACTGATCACATCATTTAATGACATGCTGGTGTAATACAAAATATTTGATGTATGAGATCCACTGTTTTGTTCATGTGATCAAAGCTTAGCATCTCTCAATCATAGAGGAATCTGATAGAATGTCTGGATTCCAATACACATGTGAAGTGCGAATGGATCATTCATCATTGTGTTGTATTGACAAGATAAAAAAGCACAGCCCAGCACAAAGAGGCACCCACCAGCGTAGGGTTTCAGATGGATCAAGTGCACAATTTTACCTCTCTACAAATGAAGAAACAATTTTCATAAGTCAAGGTCAGCTAGGTTGTAAAGGAGCACTGTACAGCAGCTCCAAAACTTGTCCTCTTAGTTATAATCAAATATACAAGGCTATGATCAAGAGAGTCTAGATTCAGTACAAGTGTCTGGGATTAAATTAAAATATAAAACGTTAATATATTTTTAATGTTTTTAATTATAAACTTTGTTTTATACTTGTGAGGAAAATTAAATTACTTTCAAGATTATTTAAACCTGACAACATTTTAATTTCAGTAGTATCTTTGTTTCTCCTCTATCTTTTCCACCTCTTCTGTCATGTTCTTCTGTTCTCTTCTTCTACTATCTTTTTTTTTTCTCTCTTTGATTAAGTTATGATAAAGATGCTACAAATTTGGTATTAGTACATCCTCCCTCCATGGGTTTCAAATTCTATTTAAACAATGTCCAGATTAATTGCACTCATCGCCATTCTCTCGCCTCTCCAAAATCCTTAATCCTTCTGTTGCTCTATCTATTTCAAAGCTGGACAGCTTAGGCGTGGCGATAACACAAAATGATGACAGCAGTGGCTATGAAAAGCAACACTGGTGGTGGCACAATAGAGGTCTGAGTTACTACTACTATCCTCTTTTCCTTCTTGTTTGAGCCCAGAAAACCTAGGTGAGATCCCATGCTTCTCAGTGGACACTGGATGAGGCGTTCCATAGGCTAGCAAATCAGTTGAGGTGGTAATCACTCATCTTTCACCTCTCTTCTCTCCTCCCTCTGCTACCTCTATTATGCTCTCTCTCCCATTTTCTCTTGCCGTCTGTCTTCTCTCCACATGGCTTAATTAATCAATTTAACAAAAACAATTCAAAACTACATTCCTGATATAATGATAATTGTAGGTATATGTCAGAGGAATCATCACCAAGAAGCATCAACAAGGATCTTAAGTGGAATTACAACCCTAATGTTATTACATATTTTGCCACAAAACTCCAAAAGGTAAAATATTTTTTAAGAAAGGCAACAAGCTCCTACTCTGATACAATGATATAAAACTCATATTTTGATTGAAGTTGCTATTTATAATTACCTTTATCCTTAATATATTTCTTTTTTTTTGGAAGATAAGTTTATTGTTTTGCACAGATGAACTCCTAAAGCCTCAAGTGATAAGGATTCTTGGTGTTTTATAACACCTAGCCTCTTAACAACATTCGTACCAAGGGCCAGCCATTGTCATTGCTTATTGCTCAATCTTTGTCATTAAGGATCAGCTGTTTTTGGCCTAGAATAGATGAATACTGCCAATTCTTATATGAGACAGGGTGACTCTCATTCTTTGTCAGTAAAGGATCAGACAATTTTGGCCCAAATTAGTTGAATCCAGCCAGTTCTCAAACAAGGCAGGTTGACACTTGATCGAATCCAAATAATTCCAATCACAGCAGAGGCAGATTTATACCATCATAAATTTCGTGTTCACATGGGCATAGCTGAGGATAGTGAGTCTAAGCATCAAAGGGAACCTCACAGTGAACCATCATTCAAGAAAAGAGAGTCTAAAATAGAAAAGAAATATTCAAGAATCAATTGGCAGACTGAATAATGAGGCAATCCAGTTTGCACAAGTTCAATCACAAATATAGGGTAAGAAAACATAAAGATTCATTTTCACTATTGTGCAAGTGTATCACCTAAAATTAACATGTCAACCCATTAAGAAATCTCAAAACAGGGGTCATGGTCCAGTTAGACTCAATACCAGTAGAATCCCATTTGTACTTTAGCTATTAGCCTAAAGCAAGCTATCCATTAAGTTATTAGTCCAAATTGAGCTATCCATCAAGTTATTAGCCCAAACACCATTCAGCACTCAATGTCCTGAGGTTAGGACTTCGAAGATGGATTGAAGCCTGACGAGATGAATTATAACATACTGCAATATATCAGAAAGATTATAACTGCTGGAGGAGTAAAGTTCCCCAATTATTGTCAAAGAGAGGACTAAGAAAGGTAAATATTTTGGTTGTACCTCAATGGTCAATTATTTGAAACACCAAAACATTGAAGATTATCAGTAGTAGTAGCAATAGTTGCTGTCGATTCGATTGTTTTATATAGTTTTCATTTTTCTGTTCTTTGTGGATATTACATGAGTCCCATGTAAGGATCAAGATATTCCAGAGTTAAGTTGCTGGCAAAGGCACAAACTGCGCCAGCCATCAACAGAATATGAAGTGTCAGGCTGTGCAGGGCTTTTGGTTCAAAGCACCAGTATATATCCTATATGATCTGGCAGCACTTAAAACCTTGGGATGCCATATAAAATTAGCTACATTAATACTTTATAACTAGTATGGTAAATAAAAAGTATCTATTACTAATCACATAAACTTGGTTACAAAGAGGTGTATATGAAACCCAGAAGAATCTCAGGCTCAGTATGGGAAACAAGTATACTCTGGAGCATCCAATCACAATCTTGACCCCAAAAAGGGGAAAAAATACAACCTGCATCTTCAATTCAACTATTTTCTTTGGACAACAGGTTAAAAGCTGTTTATATCTGGTCAACATATCCTTGATCATTCCAATTTCATTTTCCAGTTAGTGGCTGTGAACTGAAGCATCACATTTCACAATGGGACACAGCAATGTAACAAATAAAAACATGCTCTTGTACTAAGTTGCTAAAATGTCTATGCAGAAGTAGACATCTCTATGAGCTTGCAATAAGAATAAACATTTCTGACATAAATAGAATGGACTAAAAGCAGTTACAAGTACTAGCAGAAAAATTTATTATATATAAGTAATCTCTAGGACTGGCAACTTTCACTACTATTACAAAATAGGGTAACTTCTCTACAAACAAAATTGTATATTACTAACTGACTTAAAAAAAAAAGAGATAACTATTAGTTTTGCATTTAGATAAAAGAAGTTCTGAAGTCCATGCAGTCTGAATTTAAGATCATGTACTGCACAAGGTATGAAAAGTTCATGAGTTGATAGTCTACCACAAATGAAAGAAAAAAATGATCCACCAGTTACTATTTTAAATATGAAAAGCATATATAATGATGGGTCCAAATAAGGCAAGTAATACTTACTCTCCTATCATTTTTTGCATGTGATTGGCGAAGAAAAAAACGGTGACAGAATACAATTGCAGTAGCTATTGTTACTTGCGGTCTGCACAGAAATGTTTAAGCTTAATTCTCAATTCTAATGACAAGAATAAGACAGAAAAATACTGCAATAGAAGCTAAAAACTTTTTATCAAAGTTTTCCCACAAGACCCTAATAAGAAACGTGTAAAAAAGAACAAGCAGGAACCATTACCAAGATATATAGGAATGTTTACATGGCTCCATATCCATCACTGAGACTAGGATTTATTTGTCATTAGTTAAATTGTGTTAATATCTTATTATTGTTTCTAAACCGACTCTTTATATTGTCTTCTTCTCTCTCTCAAAATTCCTCCAAATCAAGGAATGAAACTTTGGATACTTGACCCATAACAGTTAATGACCCATTCAAACATACCGACTTATCGTACGATAGCATGTACTGTGGTTCATTCTACAGTGAGAGGGGAGGCAGTGGAAGGAAGAAGGAAGTGCAAGAAGACAAAAAAAGAAAGGAGAAGGAAAGAAGGTGGCAGTGGACAAGGAAGATGAGGATAAGAATAAGTACTGGAGAGGAGGCATGCAGCAGGCAGCTGTAGAGCGATAATGCAGAGAGGGAGATGGCCTTGTGAGTCACAAGACCTAAAAGGCATGAGGCCTTTTAAACAAAAAGCCCTCAAAACCATCCATTGCTTGCTAAAAAAGAAAAAAAAAAGAAACAAACCAGACTACATTAAAAGAGGTGGTCCATGTCTAGATTTATGCCTGACCAGCAGATACCGGTTGACACGAAACAGTCCGAGCAAAACTGAAATCCCTGCTCCAAATTAAAATCAACCCACTCCATATTACAATTGCATTTACATATTTGCTTTACACGTCCACACAACCTTCATTAACTCCTTCATTTGTTCCTAGAGTAGTAGTAACCAAGTGCTTGGGGATATAATTGTCTGTCATTTGATCTTTTCAATGGAAACTCCTTATATTCATCTCATCATCCCCATACTGTAGCATTTTGGATATAGCTAAGCTTCCTAGCCCATAAATTAGTGATGACATTATGGCTGTCCAGATTCCTTGTAATATGAGTACTCAGCATTCAGAGAACACCCAAAGATTTCTCTCCATTTTATCCAACCCAGTTTTATGGTTAACACATCATTTGATCCCTGCATTCTGTTGTACAACATATTCAAGATACCACAAATTGTGTATAAAAAGTACCTATCACATCTTTCCAATTATAACTAAAACTCGACTTCAAATACTGAGTCTTAATTCCAGTTGATAGAACACTTGTAGGCACTAAAGTTAAATTCTACTGTCATCAATCAATAATATTAAACAAATAAGTTCTATAATTGACCCTTTCACATTAAGTAAAATTGCCTTGCATTAAATCATCTTAATCAATAACTTCCTACATAGTAATATACTTGCTTCATAAGCCATCATTATTTTTGCAACTTCATTTAATTCCTTTTTCTTTCTATATAATATTACCAAAATATGTTCCCTTCATTCATCAATCATTTTCTTAATTGCATTTGCCACATAAACTACTTGTCCAGGTTAGCTTTAGTCTTTCATACACTTGCATATGACTATGGGGATAACTTCAGGCATGGCTCTCATTCCACCCAGTCAATGGCACAAACCGGGGCATCTGCCTCCAGAACACCATGTATATTCAAATCTTTAAAATACGTTTTGCAATATGTGCCAGTACACAAACACATACTGAACCAGTTAATTCCTAGTCTTAACATAGTGACTCTATACTCAAAAACATTTTTCATTAAGTTACTTGTAAAAATAACTCTTCTATAAAAGGGCAGCTTGGTCCACACCCTTCCTCCTCCTCCTCTCTTTCTTTCCACTTCCATGTGGTGCAGTCTACAAAAGCAGTAGAATAGATTTGATGTTTTTCAGGGCTGTTCAGCTCCAACAGCACTCCAGAAGATCACAGCATGTCAGAGGCAGCATTTTTTAGTCAAATGGTGAGACTTCACCAAATAGATATGATGCAAGTAGTCTTCAATCTGCGAGCAAACTCTTGCAACGTTCAGAACTAAGAGATCCATCTTCTAGCAACTTCGGGGAAAAAAAAACTGCTGCTGTTCACCTTATCTTAAGAGAAAATTTCGGCACAAGGTTAAATCTATGCTGATTTGAGTTAAAAATAAATTTAGAACTGAAAGAAAGAATTAGGGGAAACAAAGAGAAAGGAGAATAAAGGAGAGGAAACAGACGACAAATAATGGCATACAGACTTAAGAAGTCACAACTTTGTTTCTTATTCAAAGAAACTAATTGATTTTCCCTCAACAGCAATTCTTACAATAATAATATTTTTTTCCATCCAGAGTCTATACTGGTAAGAGTTCCTATCGGGTAAGTCCATGGGGTATGCTTAAAATTTTTTAATACTAATAGAAAGGTATATCCTATCAACTAGTAAAACTAAAAGCAAATCTGTCACACAAAAGCTTGATCAACAAGATATTATATGAGATATGATTATAAAGACTAAGCAGAAATATCATGTTTAGAACTAGCTTGATTAACTAGACATGAAAGAATCAGACAGTTAATGGAAGTACTCCCTCAATATTCCACAATATCTGAGCTGTGTGATGCCATAATGGTGTGACTCGTGCAGAGGTGGAAGACCTTCATTCTTGAGAATCAATCTTTAAGACATTATTATCTTTCCCTTCTCTCTTTTCCTTCCTCTATTCCAAAAAGATATATATTTTCTATGCTAGTTATGAACTTGTCTGACATCATCAATCTTAGTAAAAGATGACACCATTAATGAAATGACTTTATAGCCATTTTAAGATACAAGATGCAATAGATGAAACCTCATTCTTTAAAGATCTATATAAACCCATCTTATTCTATGACTTACTGCTTATTAAGAATTTAAATTTTTCACCAGATTTTGCAAAGACTGACAGCCACCACATTTGTCTTTATAATGAAGACATGATATCATATTCTCGAAGCATTATTTAGTTATCAATGTCACCTTCACCTAACATTTCTTTTCCTTTTAACTCCATATGACATAAACAAAGTGGTATAAAAATATATGTGCTTTTTGTTCAAATTAAAGGAACACTTTAAGATAACTAGAAATTTGAAAAAGATTTAAAAGCAGAAGCATAATTCTTACACAGGAGGTATAGCAAATAAATCATAGATTTATTAAAGCACACTTTTCTGAAAACTACGTAACAATATAACAGATAAAGAAAAAATCTACTTTTAATAAATTATATTAGGTAATTTGGATATACTGTAAGAGGCACATCATGGTTTTACAAGAAAGACGCAAGACAGATCCAGACATGTGATTACATAAAATGAATGAGTAAAGAAACACTTACACTTTTAGTCTCATGCCTAGATCTTGCAAAAATGTGCAATAAGACTTCCGAAGATAAGTTTCTTTCTTGAGATCAATGCCATCTCTCCTAGATGGAGAGTTCTCTTCAATATCCCTACGACTTAAATACCAAGTAGCTCCAGGCAACTTATCTTCTTCATGCCTGTCATGGGAGAACCTGTAGGGACTAATCTCCACCAATTCATGATGTGAAGGATCCCCAGCCATATGAATTATGGTATCCACGTAAGTCACTCTAAAAGTTGACCTGCTTTCGAATTAAATATATCTGATAAAGCTGACTATATGAACAAATGCAACAGCAGTATTCTGCACAATGAGAAACAGTGTCAAAAAAATCAAAGAGTACAACAATTTCTTGTGCAACATTTGCATAATAAAGAAATTGAAGTTCCAGCATATGAATCTATGCATATACATATGGCCTTCAATGGTTCCACATCCATGTTAAAAGCTTAGAGAAGCAATTGAATCCAACATATGCTGCCAACTCAGCACTCTAAGAACAAGCAGGAACCTGATTTCTACGAGCCACATAACATCATCAGATGATATGCTACAATAAGCCCCTCTCGGATTATATTTTCATCTAACATCCAATGTAAAGCCACACACTACATCATATGATATGTTGTAGCAACTTTTTCTCAGATAATATCGCTCCAATTTCTCACAGCTACCATCCTAAGCCTGAAAACCACATGATGGTCATATTAAGATGATTTCAAGCCCAGCTGAATACAGTGTCATCAAAAGGCGCTCAGGCCTCACCTCAAAAGTCGCCGTGCAAGGCACCATTTGCTGCAGGACATCTTTAGATTTTTTTTTTTAATTATTAGTTTAGGGACTGGTCCGACTGGCAACATCTAGAACATTTCCTATTTTATTTTCAATATTAATTATAAAGAAAAAATAAAGTAACTGAAGAAAAAGGAAAAAAAATTATCCAACTACAAGAAAGGAAGACTATTAAGAACCAACAACAAAGTTACGCCAAGTCGAATCTAAAAATTAATCTTTCTACAAAGAATTCAAAATATAATTTATTTGATTATGTTTTCTTCCTTATTTTTTTTTCTTTTCTTCTGGTACTTAGGCCTATACAAAAGAGGCCTTAAGATTGTAATAAGCTTATTAGAGAATGAATCAAAAAATTAAATTAAGTTCTTTTACCACATAATGTGAGGATATTAATATAGATTAATGGTATTAGATATTTGTTGTAAAAAATAAAAAAAAAAAGTAAAAAATTTTAATAGGATTAGATGGTAGAATTTTTAAAGATAATAATGTAATGATTTCTAAGAATAGAATCTAAAGATAGACGGATTGGATCTTAGACGAGGATAATATTAATATTATTTGGAGTATGATAGCTAACATAATTAGGTGTTTAACAATGGAGATTCTTGGTAAAACTAAAGGTAGAGGTGGTAAGTCAATAGAAAGTTAGTGTTCAAAAAGCAATTATCAATAAAAGATCATACTTTAAAGCAAGGTATGCAATATCGTACCGTACCGATGTTTCGAGGTTGGCTCGGTATGGTACGGTACCAGCGCACCGAGCTGTACACCAGGGCATACCGAGCGATACACCAGGGTTTACCGAGAGATTTCCTCTTACTGTAGCATTGTAGCATTGCTATAATACAGCACGGTAGCACTGTAGCACGGCCCGTCCGGTAGCGGGCGGTCCGCGTACCGGTATGCTGTCAGACCGATACGTACCGCTCATACCGAGCGGTACCATTCGAAATTGCATACCATGCTTTAAAGATTGGTAAAATTACAAAAATAGGAAAAAATTAAAAGATATTTAAAATCCAAATAAGCGACTAAAAGAACCATTAGTATGGCAAGATATAAAACTTATGATAATTTTTATAATGTGTTGAAATAACATAGGAAAAAAAAATGTTGAATTGTTAAAGCTAGGAAAAGAAAGTGTAAAAACTTAGGTAACATTAGATGTATTAAAAATGATTATCAAATAATACTTGTTAATGATAACAAATTTAAGGAAAGATGAAGAAATTATTTTTATAAATCATTTAATGAACATTCCACAAATAATAACTTTAATGATAGATAATAGTGGTAGATTTAATAATCATAGATTTTTTCATAAAAATAGAGTTAGTGAAGTCAATAGCTTAGAGTGCAGGACATGATGGTATTTCTATTGAGGTTTGAAAAAGTATAAGAGATGTGATGTAAAACAAAGACATACTTGCTCGGACTTGTACCAATACATCTAGGATGGGTCCAATACCCGATATTAACGTCGTTGTATTGCTCCTACCACCAAAATGAATAACATGAGTCAACGATCACTAGATCAATGACCTCGACGAGATGAGACTATTTATTGACCTGTTGTGTATGTAGACCCATGCAACAAATTACTCCCACAATGTTTGATACTGATATACAATGTGCCATTAATGCAATACCATGGTAGCAATTATCATTGCATCATCGCTCTTATGGCAAGTATGATTGTGGTTGCTATGACTATGGAGGATGGAGTGAAGTTGTGATTATCATCACTACTCTACTGTTGTGTATTTAATAGAGAAAAATGACCAATTTCCACCATGCTTCTGTTGGTCATGATATCCACTATAGTACTAGGAAAGTTGAGAATAAGTTGAATAGGTGCTTTTGTCGACATTGGGCAAGCTCTGTCGCATCTGAGAAAGATCATCCATTGCTTGCCCTTCCCCTTATCTTTGTGACCACAAACAAATTGTGTGGATCCTCATGCTTCATGATCTGAATTCTAGTTGGCATGAGTGAAATACTACTCGGTCCATGCACCATCTTGACTCTTTGAATACAAGTCAACAACAACCAATGTTTTTGAAGGCAAATAGAGAAGAATATAAGCCTTTTACCCAAAGCAAGAGATTGAGGTTGAGAATGAGACTAACAAAGAGGGTGAGTGAGAGTGAGACAAGAGGAGAGGAGGGTGAAGAGGATGTGTTTAAACACCCAAAAAGAGGCTCCAACAGTTAGACGGGTTGAAATGACCAAAATATGACCATTACCAACCAGTACAATCGATAAATCATGTGTACCATTTGGTACACCTCAGAAACAAACTAGTACACTTGTACCAGCCTTGTTACGGCACTATATCAATAATCCCTGAACCAAACAGCAATTGAACCAACTATTAATTGTACTGTCTTGAACCAATCGAAATTGTGAACCTTTATATCAACCAACAACGAGTGGGAGAATATTGATAAATAATCATTCTTATCAGTTTAATACTTTATGTCACCATCATAATTTTTTTATTTCTACAACTTCAACCATCTATTGTTATAGATCACAATTAACAGAAGATGACAAATTATAATAACAGACATAAAAGAAATATGATAGGAACAACTCTTCATGGAAAAAATTCCTCCAGAAGATAACAGGAGGGAGAACAAAGACTACTAATTTAATTGACATCAATATTAAGCAGTATAAAGGGATAATAACCAGAACCACAACCTCATGCTCACAATGTCATACCTATAGCTAATTAAAGGTTTTGTGAAAAAAAAAGATTAACTTTTAGGATGCTGCACTTAGATATTTCAAAACAAAATTCCTACTAACTCAAAATAGAACTCTTTATCATTTATAAGACACAAAATTAAACAAAAAAACCATAAAAATAAAAGTTACAATAATGATGAAAACCATAAAACAATCACTAGAAATAGAAATATCAAATGAACTTCTGTTCTAACTATAATTATAGCTAGCTTCTTAATGTCATCAAAATCCAAATCTTATCCTATGAATCCAATTGGCACTAACATTCAGCAGAAAATAGAGATACCCTAACGATAATCTTTTGGGTTTAAAATAAGTCATATATATAGAGCTCATTAAAAGGCTTGGTGAGAAAAACCTCCTACATAGCAAAACTGATCACCCCAAAATTCCAATTTAAACATTTGAGAATAAAACTCCTAATAACCCAAGAACTTATCTAACCTTATATATATATCCAAATAGAACTATTTAGCATCAAGAATACAAAAATAAGACTCTAAAACACCCTAATAAATAAGGATAGATAAAATAATGAAGAAACCCTGAATAGAAATCACTAGAGAAAGAAACTTAAAACTCCCATACTAACTAGAAAACTGGCCTCTCACTACGCTCATTTAAATTGGAGTCTTTTGAACATCGTCTGAGCCAGCGCCTTGTTTGGACCTACCCTTGCAATGAGCAATCCAGCCTTTATCAAGACCAACCAACTAATCAACTACTGTAGAAAGCTGAGCAGCCTTTAGGTAGGGCTAAAACTCCTATTGATGGCCCAAAAACCCTTGTCTAGGGCTCGACAAGGATGAGGCCCTCATAGGTAATGCTTTAGGGCCTAACTGCTTCACAACAAAATAAGAGCAGATAAAAGGAAATTTTCTTCAATTTACAAAAGCTAGATCAAAGGAAAAAAAGGTTCTTGGCCTTCGTACTCCATGAGTATTTTCTAAAATGTAAAATAAAGAATTAACAGATTTTCAAACCCTAAACTTCATGAGATAACTGGAAAAAGGGAAGAATGGAAGCAGCGAAGGAATAGAGAGAGGCAATACGGTGCTGTCTCTGGCGGCAGGCGGGGAAGGCAGAGAGGCGGCGAAGAACCGGCGACAACAGCAGATGCGGCGAAGAGTCCGGCGGAGAGCAGCCACGGGTGGGTCGGTTCCGTTGCTGTATCTGTGGCAGGAGGCGGAGGAGAGCTGAGGCAGGCGAAGGAGAGCAGAGGCTGGGTCGGATCGATCGATCGGGGCGGACAGTCCGTCGGTCAGCCGGCGGCGGAGAGCAACTGCGACGGAGAATTAGGGCTCGATCGGTCGGGCTCGCTCAGTTAGGTAGTGCGGGGGCTATATATGCAATCATTAGTTGACTGAATCAAACCAGGTTTTCGCAGTAAGCCGCCACTTGAGCGCGGGTCAAGCTCGGTTCGGGTGCCGGTCTGCGCGAGGTCTAACGTATCGACCGGAAATCAACCCGACCAAGTGGTTTTTCGTACGCGGTTCAAACCGGCGGAATGGCAACTGTTTTGGCTGTACGCCACGTGATTTGATTAACGAGGCTAGGGGTTAAGTCACGAGATTTGGTCCCGATACCTTGGTCTCTCACTTAACGAGTTGTGACGGCTGCGGCCTCACCTTCCAAATCACCGAGCACGACACCTCGCTTGCTCTCGGACTCCGGCCCCTTACTGACCCATGGCGACGGCCGCGACCGCATCCGCCACCCGCTTCACCGCCGCGGCCGGCGGCGCTTTCCATGGATTACGGTGGCGGTGCTCTCCTCCGGCCTACCAGGGCGCCATCCTCTCAGCCAGGCCGAGGGCCGTCTCCCTCACGCCCCAACGGCGCTTCGTATCCCCATCCGCCCTCTACAAGGCCGACATCCAGACCAAGGAGGAGGGCCTCCCGGAGACACTCGATTACCGGGTCTTCTTCCTCGATGGCTCCGGCAAGAATATCTCACCGTGGCACGATGTGCCCTTGCATGTGGGAGACGGGGTCTTCAACTTCGTTGTGGAGATCCCCAAGGTGTCGAGCGCGAAGATGGAGGTGGCCACCGATGAGCCGTTCACGCCTATAAAGCAGGACACAAAGAAGGGGAAGCTTCGATACTACCCGTGAGATCATTTGCACCTCAATCACTTCTTTTATTGTCTTTCCATTTCGCTTAGTTTGCTTGGTATTTTCTTTAACTGTTAAAGTCTGAGCCTGAAGGCTTCATGGGTTCAGTTCTTGGACAGCCTGGAGTAATGCTGTGAATATGGTTTTCCCATCAAAGGGTTTGTCCTCGAAGACAGATCAAATAATTGCACTGTATGAACTTGAATTATCAGTCTCTTTTGGTGAATCCACTTAAGTAAATAATAGGATATCCTTTTAGAACTGATAGCAAATCGCAGCATTTACTATGGAGTTGGTGGACCATGTATACAATCTTAAATATGGCTATTCTTTTTTTTGTTTTTTTGTCCTAACATATTCCCAAGTCATTTGACAATAATCACTGATATGCAATCTAGATGGAAATCATGTTGATTTACCATCTCGGATTGAATTTTAGTTTGTCAAGGGTGAAACTTTTGACAAGGTCAAGTGGTCAACATTGTTTGAGTCAACATACATCTGTGAGGTAATTTCTGTTGCTTACATATTATGAGAAGTTAAAATTCGTGTCTTGAGATGGCTTGTTCACTATCATAGACCGGATACTGCATACTGATAAGGTGCTTTCTTGAGAAAATATCCCAAAGTGCAATGGCAACATCAAACATTGATTAGTATTAAATCTGCACGCAATTAAGAATTCAAGCAACTTATCATCAGATCAAGGATCCAAGATGCAATTGAGTTAAATTCTCTTGGTTTAGTGTCCTAATATTATGATTTATCTTTAAGAATGTATTAAATTGCTTACTAGAGCTCTTTGTCTATCTTTTTATTATTTATATGATTTTTTAAAATAATAAAAATGTTCATTATATTTAATAGCATATATGACGCTCACACATGAGACTCGAACTTAAAACCTATCACTTGCACAACAATGCACTAACCAATCCGGATGTCTCAACGGAGACTATTCATATGATTTTATTCTCTTGACCAACTATATCTATATTTCAAGGTATATTTTTTATCTCAAAATTTGCATATCAGTACTTTTAAATTATCTTGGTTTAGTACAATGGATGAATCCTGTTCTTTTTACTATCAAATTACTGTGGCTTTCTAGTGTCATTGAAAAAGTTTTTTTATTAAACTCTGACTACTTGTGTACTTTATATGGATGAGATGCACATAGATGAGGAAACCAGACACCTAAATGCCTCACTTGAATATAACATAAACAATGGGTAAATGGGATTAATCATAGCCGTTGCTTTAATATGAGATATTTTGTTTGATAACCATGGCCATGTCACCTGTTACAGAAACATAAGGAATCTTGCCAAAATGAGTGTCAAATTTTGTCGGTGAACTGCAGAAATAAGTTGAAAGTGCCAAATCATGCAAAAAGATTAATTGGACTTGATAGGGAGAATACACCCCACCATAAAAATTCATGTAATTATGTAAATTTGACTGACTGTTTATTTTTTAATTTCAGGTACAATATAAACTGGAATTATGGATTACTTCCTCAAACATGGGAAGACCCATCTTTTGCTAATGCAGAAGTTGAAGGGGCTTTTGGAGATAATGATCCAGGTTTATTAGAACCATCCCCTATTTATGTGATACATTAATTGATTTGGATAGTCTAGCAAGAGCCCTGGTTCTGTCAGCAACATAATGACCTGATATTCTCCATGTTCCAGTTGATGTTGTTGAGATAGGTGAAAGACGGGCTAAGATTGGTGATATCCTTAAGGTGAAACCCTTGGCAGCTTTAGCCATGATTGACGAAGGGGAGCTAGACTGGAAGATTGTTGCTATTTCATTGGATGATCCTCGAGCTTCACTTGTAAATGATGTTGATGATGTTGAGAAGCATTTTCCAGTATGTTTTTCTATTAATATAAATTTGTTGAATTTCACATCTATGTGCATCAAACTGAGAAACTCTTCCATATGTGGTTTGTTGCCACGACCTAGTTTTTACATGATAACATCATTGCACTGTAATAGATTCAGTAATATAGATAGGTCTGAGATTTGAATTTTCTTTATCTATCGCCTCGATGCCCCTCTGGTTTCTTAGTTTGAAACGTCAAGATACAAGGCCTTAAATATCCTTGGCTGTGGATAATTAACTGTTTGGGCATCTGAAGTCCATTGACCATGCATGCACCAACTCTAACCAAACCCACTGGCTTTCCTATGTATGCCAATGAAGAACATTTTGATGTACTAAAAATTTAATAATTTTTTTTTCATTATATGTCTATATTTGATGCATTTGTAGATAGAAATTTGTCATTCTATGATTTTAAACTACAGAAATCAGTGTGCATATTAACAAATATCTGCACCTTTTTGTTAATGAAGTGAAATTCAGACTGAATTAGTTTTCCTGTTTGCATTAAATGTGTTGGAGACCCTTTAGATAGAGATAAAATCTAAACAGTTGTTATCTTGCATTTGTTTTGCATTAGGATTTTCTGCTAGTTTGGAATTAAATATTACTTGTAGAGGTACCTAGTTGTTTGTCACTTGTAAGGGTTTGTATATTAAGTTCTTAGAATTGTTATATTGAACTAAAGAGTAGTATTAGCATGAACATTAGACTTAATTGGGGTTCCAGAGTTTTCCAGTGTCATTTGATAGACAATCTACATTGTCAATTGGTAAAAAAGGGCAATCATTGCTGAGTCTCCTGCAGGTTCAAGATTTAGGGAGAGCCCCAGTGTGTACAGCCTTTACCCCTGCAAGCAAAGGGGTTGTTTTCATGACTCAAACACTGGGCACTAAATTCACAACAGACCATCTTTATTGTAGTGCAAAGGCTTATTTTATCCAGACCACATTGTCTGTTATGCTGTCTGAATATGCAAACCGACAGAAAATTGTCTTAGCACATATTCTGTCTTTCACATAGGGCCACCTATATTGTACACTTCCAACTGCTTGGTGCTTTATGCATATTATGTTCATGTGTTTTCTGAGCCAGTACAAGAAATTAAAAGTGTTCTGTCATGCTAAACCTTCTGAACTGATATTCGCCATCAACTGGATGGATTCTTTTTGTTGTTTTATGATATTTGCATTCTAGAACAGGGTAAAACTGGAAAAAGAGGTGTCCATAATTTCTCAATGTTATTCAGTTGAACACGACATGACTGTCACATTTCAAAAGATTCATACATTGAGAAAGCAATGTTCTAACCTTGATTTTAAAATATCATTAAGTTTGAAGGGATCTAATTCAGCCTTTTTCTGGAGATAATTGTGATTTTGTGAATTCTGTTAATAAATTTCACTTCTTTCCTTCTATTGATCTTTCAGTGGATGAGTTGATAGTGAAGTACAACAAACAACTGCTGTTTTCATTGTGCTTATTCATATTCTTTGTGGTTGATTATTTGGAACCCACTGGGCCTGCTGTTGCTTTAGGGAACTCTGACTGCTATAAGAGACTGGTTCAGAGACTACAAGATTCCAGATGGAAAGCCTGCTAATAAATTTGGTCTTGGCAACAAAGCTGCAAACAAGGTAAGGTCTCTATATTGTCGTATTAGAATATTTTATCCACATGTTGCTCAAGACAGTATTTTCTTATTTGAATTCAATTCTAAATTGGCAGATGTTATTCGAAATTGCCCTTTTGCATGTTCAGTTTTTGTGTGGTGATTCTTGAGTGGTTCCCATTTCATATACTGTTGTATGGTTCATAGACTTTGTTGATTATTTCAATTTTAAAGAGAATTAAGTTTTATAAAATGATACTGTTTTACATTGTCTGGTGATGCTTACTAATTTCTGGTCTGGATATTCTAGCCTTTTTTTTATTAAATATGAATGTCTCAACAAATACTTGAAATATAATATAGGTGAATCTACCAGTTTGGAACTGCACTCTGAAAAGGCAATGCAGAGTAACAGTACAAAATTATTTTATTTTTTGAATGCAAGAATTTATTATGATATCAAAAAAATTCTGTAAACAACATCAATTGATTGTTAAGCATGATCATGACATGATTTGTTTGTCTTCTTCCACATCAATATCCATACCAGTATGTGGTTTTTTTTAGCCTGTCATATTCTATGTTTTAACCTGAGTAAGCCTTAATGCACCAGTAGGATTGCTCCTTTCTGACCTAGGTTTCATGGATGTGAACCTCAGAAACCACCTATCCACATCTTGGGGTAAGCTATGAATATCAGACTCTCCTTATATCCTGCACTAGCAAGAGCCTCCCATGCTGATCGTTCCTTATAGAGTTACAATTTCAACAATATTTTAGCAATCTGCTTTAAATGATGCCCTAAAGCAGATCAGCTCTAATCTGAGTCTTTACAGTTGTTAACCAGCTTTTATCAAAATTAGTCTAATTTTCATTGAAACTGGTAGAAAAACATTGATTGCATTGGACAGGGTGGTTTGCTCAAAAACAGTTGGCACTCAGTAGACTTGTGCTAGTCCATGGGTAAAGCTCTATGCAGCCCCTGCCATGACCCGACTCATGTATGTTAGTTTCGTCCAATATGCATCACCATAATGGCCCCGCTCTTGTATCGATATGAGCTATTAGAACTGTGATTTTTATATAGAAAGCCATACATCAACAATTATCATTGGCCAGTATCTAAATAAATAAAATGCATATTTTAGCTTATTAGCTTATAAGTTAGAGTCTTACATCTTCTAAAATACAATAATCAAAGGTGTTATAAGAGAAGAAAGAAGAAATGATGGTCAAAAGTAAAGGTTATAAAGGTAAGGAGAGAATTAAAGAAATGATGGTCAAAACCTAATTGTTTTGTTATTCTCCTTCTCAATGAAAGAAAAAAATTTAGTGATCGATCTTTTCTCCCTTGAAGAATTAATTTATACACCTTTGCATTGAAGCTAAGCAATTTCAGAAAGTAGTCTCTGATTATACAGTTTGTTCCTGATGCATGCATCTTCAACGCCTCACTCTTATGACATGCTTCTTTTCTGTCTGCACATAGTGCCTCTACTTACAAACTTTTGGTTAACATGTGCAGTTTCAATTGTAATTGTAAAATATGGTATATACTCAATTTTATTGTATTCTTTTGTTCTTTTTGGTATATAGGACTATGCTTTGAAAGTTATTACTGAGACAAACGAGTCATGGACAAAATTGATGAGAAGATCAGTTCCTGCTGGAGACCTTTCGCTGTTATGACTTCTATTCTGGTGAAGTAACAAGAAGACTGCTAGATTTTTTTAATGTTCGCGGAGGGTTTAAATATGCACATACAGGTTTAAAATTCAAATAATGCATGATTGGCATGATATTTGTCATCATCCACATGCGTGGTCTCCTGTTAGACAAACATAATGTTTTGATCACCTCAATGCTAATCGACTCAATCATCTCATGGAAGATTTGCTTATTGAAGTTCATCTTTGCCGCTAGCAGGTAGTAAATATATCTTCTGCACTTTGCAGCTTATCGTCCATAGGAAAAGATAATTTAGCTTTGTTCACTTGTCAAAAGTCCACGGGCAACCTATGATCATTCATCTAGTTAATAATATTGATAACCCAGTAAAGATATTTTTACATTATCAGATTAATTCTTTGCCTATGATATGCAACCAAACCTAATATCTCTCTCATATGTTATTTTTGGTAGATACTAGAGACACTTGTAACCCTAGCATAACTGATTGGTTTGTCATTAAATATTTTTTATTTTGATGAATGATTTAAATTTATTGAATATCCTTATTGGGTTTTTTATTAATTAGATATGAAATCTATATTAAAATCATATATGGTTATTGTTTAATGATATATACTAGCAAATGTTTCAAGCATACCATAATTGATAGGAGGACACTAGAAACTTGAGTTATAGCACTTGATATCATTTGTACTGAAGTTGAGTGCTTTAATCCTATTTCAAAATTTTGATTACAAGGTTGTAATATATTTTTATAAAAAGAGTAAACATATAAGAAATAGATACTAAATTATTATATTATCATTATTTTATTTTATTTTTAAAAAAAAATAAAATTGATAATAATCTAATTGATTATTGTCTTATTAAAGATAAGTCTTCTAGCGACAAAATATAACCTAATTAATTGGATAATGGGCACATTGATTAACACTTTAATAAAGATATATATAAAGTTTACGTCGTAAAAAAAGATAACATAATATTTTCTATAAGATGTAACTATACGCACATATTGATACGAGCTCTCTTATATAATAAAAATTATAGATGATCGCAATTGATGATCTGAAAAATTTTAAAAATCTCTCATGATTAAATGAAAGATTATTTCATAAAATAAGATGAAAATATATTATTGATCGCATAGTAAATGTGCAAATAGAAACTTTTGTTTTATTATTATTTTATTTATTTAGATAATTTTATATTTTGTGAAAGATTATAAGAGTTCTAAAAATAATATAGTAAAAGTGGATCTCCCTTTCCCGTGTGACGTGATCTTTGCACACGTCACTACGCTCTCCGTAAACGCAAGCTTTTTGCTATGCGCTTGTTTGAATGTAGGCTTGTCCTGTGTCGCTCGTTGCTGCTATGCCGGTAGCATGCAACATGCCACATACACATTCTCATGTTGCCACATGGCAATTCCTGATTGGATCAAAAAACCTATTTAATATTTTTTCTAAATATTTAATATAGTTGATTAAAAATTTATTTAAACCCTCTTTTTCCAACACATTTGATATAGTTGATTACATATCTTATGTTCCTTCAATTCAAACTCCACTTTTCGAATTTCCGATTCTTTCAAATCAAACCTCAATTGTATCTTAAATGATTCTCTAATAAACACCAATATGAAGCCAAAGCAATACGCTTAGAACAACCGTTTTCATACCTCCATACTCTAATTTTTAACTCCCTATTTAGTTTATTTGACCTTCTTAACCTATTTTAGTTAGTTCTAATGGGAGGATTAGATTTTATTTCTGCTCTCACAGATTCAACCATAACAACAAGAAACTCTCCCACAAATATATATCTAGATTCAACCGTCCATAACTCGTTTAAGCATAACGACAACCAGAAACTCTCCCAAAATGACATAATTTAGATTCAACCATGAGTAGATAGTTAACCATAAGAAACTCATGCCATCAATACACGTAGATACAAAGCAAAGAAAACGATGAGAACGCTAAAATTGATAGTTATAAGCATATGATTAGATGTTTTGAAGAATAACATTCAAATGAAAACGAAAGACTCACCGCCATTAACGGAAGCTGACAGTAGATTGATTATATAATGAAAGATGCTTTAGTTTAGTGCTTAAAGTAACGGGAAGAACCCTAAGGAGGGCATTCACAACCATTATACTAGAGAATCACCAGATAGGCATGAGTTCCATATCAGAAAACCATGTCTGGAGATGATAAAATGATGGTAGCTTAAGCAAAACTTTCTCCTGCCAAGATTAGAAAAGGGAATAACATAATACGATAGATCATGACAATGTCTGCATCAAATGGAAATTTGATTTATTCTTGCTTTGAGGCACTCTGAGGTTGATGTGCATTCCACTGTAAGAGCATCCACACAATTGATGTCCCTGAGAATACAACAGAGTGTTAAGCCAACGAAATCTTACTTTATCAAAAAAAAAAGTCTCAAATGCTATTACAAGTTTAAGATTGAATTAACAAAAGCAACATAAGAAGAGAGAAGCCTATCAGCAAACTTCAATTCAGTACTCTACTGTGATCAATCAATCAAACTTTTGCATTATTCGTGCACAATTTGCTTCACACTCTAATACCTGGGGGTAGGAGACTCTCGAGTTCGAACTTTTGCATTATTCGTGCACAATTTGCTTTATAATATTGGTTGATATTATCATTTTTAACATTTTCTATACAACTTTTCTTGTTTAATTAGTTTTAATATTTTATATTTTTTACTATATATAATTTTAAATATTTAATTTTTTTTTATTAAACATGTAGTTGACCCATCGATTCAACCAGTGAACCAAGGCTTGACCAGGTTGCTTCCCAGTTTGGTTTTAATAACTATATGTAAAAGTATAAGATACACCTAGCACAGGCCACATGACTATTTACATATATTAATCGAAGAACAAAGCATGATAGGTATGAACAAGCTCTATTCCATGTATTGCTAAGTGAAGGTCAGTGGTTCCTATTTAAAGACAGTTGTTTTGCAATCACCAAATGTTTGAATACAAACTGAAAACAAAAAACCTAAAAGAAGGAAAATTTTGAGACTAGTACTTCAATTTTAACATATATAAATTCCACCATTCCAAACAGTTAATTAGATTGAAGTTTGATTAAGGTTTCTGTACTTCAGGTAAAAGCCTCATTTTTACACCATAACTGTCTTATATGAGGCTTTTGATGCAGATCAAATTATAAGTTAATTTGTGTTTTTATGTTTCTAGTGCTAGTTCAGCTCCAATTAAGTTTTTGCCATTTCATATTTTGGACAACTATTTGAAAAGTAAATTGGGCTCCAAATTAGGATCTTTAGAGTCTAGTTAGATGTTAAATTTCTATTTCAGAATTAATGAAGGAACTAGTTTTAGAAAAAGAATTGGCTGCCTCTGGTCCCTTAGTGTTCTATTAGGCAGCCCATATTGTTAAACAGATTAGATCCAGAAAGGTCTTATCACAAAAAAAATTCCAGAAGGTTTCAGTTTCATACAAACAAGTGTATAGGGAACATCTTAGAATAGTTACTGACATATTAATTTTAAATTGACTGCCCAAACTGTTTCTTAATAAATAGAATGACAGATGCACTGAAGTATGGACTTTATTCTAGCTGTCTATGTATAAAACTGACACTTGGATACTTATGAGTTGTGTTTGAAGCTTCAGAGTACATAAATTATGATATCTTCACTTTAATTATATGACATATCGACAATGTCTCATCTGCATATAGCTTCTGGACCTATTGAGTGCAAGCAATACAAATGTGTTTTGGATTCTTTCAACTGAATAAGCCTCCAACATATGCATTGAAGTATCTTTGTGAATAACATTATGGCAATCATAAGTTATATACAAATCAATGGTTATTAAAATTGTGCAAAAAAATTTCCATTCGTGGTGTTGACATGTTTATACATGTCATTCACCTACATGTCCAACCTTCATATAATTGAAATTTGGTCTCTTACTTGAGAGGTAGTTTTGGATTTTTTTAAAATAAGGTTTAAATTGATTAAATTTATCTTCATTTGAGCTATCCTGGAGATTCAAAATAGGGATAAGATACCATAGAACATATTTGGAACATATAGATTGTTTTACTAATTCAATTGTTCTCTAATTTTCACCTTTAAATCTATTTCTGTACCTTCTTATATGTGTTCGACTCGTTTTACTGTATCATCTGGTATTCTATCTTCTATAGAAATTACTACTGACATCTGTAATATATTCAATTTCCTTTCTTAGGTATAACCTCTGCAGTGTCAGATTATATCAGTGCTCTAAGGATGGATTTGACATTTTCTGAAGCAAAAATTTCTTTGAAAAAGCAAGAGATCACAATTTAAGTATTAGAGGAAAGAAGAAAAAGATGCTATCTGCTCAAAATTTCTGACTCAAAATTTAAGACATGCTAATATGATGCATTAAGAAATTCTTTTGTAGAATATATTAAAATAATCACCAAGTAATGACCAATAAAAATGATAACCATACATGTAACATCATTTTGTGAACCTGCAACTATTTAGCATCATATCTCAATAACTTCAGTTATGAAATAAGCAAGCACAGATATTGTAGGTTGCAGCAAACTACATTGTATCAAATAATTGTAAAGAGATGACAATGACTTACCAGCAAAGATGCCAACAGTTGTCAGATTTGATGCAACCATTGTATGGTATATTAGATATTCAGTAAGAAAATGTCCAAAGGCATAGATGAAAGATAAAAAGGTCGCAGCATAAAGAGCCCTATTCTCAAGGTTGAATGCACAAAGAAAGCAGAGTGTGCATGTCAAAAGCGTCCAAATTCCAAATGTCCGCCCATGAACATCGGTCACTACATGTAAAATCCATAATGGTTTTAGAAACAATCATAACAGAGTTGTTATTAATGTAGCAAAGAACCAATTCCACATTATATAGATTTTCAAGATAGATGCATATAAAATTTTCACAATTACGAATCTTTAGCAGAGAACTGCAAGAAAATTTCAATTGCAGACAATGATAGTTGAAAATCTAATCAGCTAAAATCTTTATGGATACCAAATTCTTTTACTGCACGGTAGCTAACCGTTTGCTATACTCCAGTGGTTGTCTAAATTTTTTCATGAGAACTAGTGGCACTTCATAAGATGGGAACACCAAACTTTTAGTTTTAGTCATTACATAAGATGTAAACCACACTCTGAATATATTTAATTTGACAAGTTTCAGGCTCCAAGCAACTAACTTCTGAACCAGTCCTACTAAATAGGCATTAGATACTTGTTCACGAATTTCTTATAGAAATAAAGCCATTTAAAAAGTCATTTTGCTTGAAATAACAGAATTATAACAAAATATTAATCATTAAGGCATGAAAAAGCAGCCATCACTTGTCAAAAGTCTCACAGTGTACCACATATCTGTAACATTCTCTCACTAACATCAAAAGCATGAAAGAGCATATAAACTTGATGAAGTAAGCACAGGCATAATCTTGCCACACCACCAGAGCCCCAAGGTCTAGTCATATTTGTCGACTTTACTAAATATTCCTAACCTCCAATTGGTGAATGATATTTATCTTTGTAATCAAACACAAGACAATGCATCTTTCCTTTATAATTTTATTTTTGTACATGCACAAACGCAATATCAAACTTGATATTTTATCATCATGGCAGTATAGTTGAAGCATGTAAATAGAAAGCCGTGGATAGAACTTAAGAAAAAACCAAATCTTTAAGGACGGATTGCTTTCTACCCAATGTATCCAAACTTTGTCATCTGACATTCTTTTATGGCTCCAGTAACCAGGTAGAAACTCATGGATACAAAGGAACTTTCTGGACATTCCAAATGAATCTCGCAAGTAAAAATACTTAAGGAGGTCTTGCTCTCTTCCCAATGCACCCAAACTTGGCCATTCTTTATGACTCCTACTTCAACATCCATACTCTTGGTGGAACAAACAAGAGGCTCGACGCACAGAAGTTTTGGTTCAGGACCATGAAGGAGCAATTTACATCCAACAATATAAAGATCCAAATACAAGTATCCAAGATCATTGGGTATTACAAGATTCAATGCAATCGATCCTTCCTATACTATAGACCCGCGCCCCGCTCAAAGATCAAACTCAACCCACCCAAAAGACTACCCATTCCAATTTTTCAAACGCCATATGCCTATGCAGATCTAATCCTTCGTTCAGAGTATGCAGTAGCAATTGAACCACTTAAACTCGCGGACATGATATTTACTAATAATACAAAAAACCTGCAAATAAAATAATAATAATAACAAAAAAGATGAGTTCTATAGCCTCATGAACCTCATTTTCAAGAGAAAGAGATCCAACACAAGGTTTTCTCTAGATAATGCGAGCAATACAGCATGTAGATCTCATCCCTGTAACAGATCGTGATGAACAATAGCTTCTCCGAGAATCCCTAGATGACGATCTACGGAAACATATCAGCAACATTGAGGGAGAGAGGAAGGGGAATATGTAGTTAGTACTTTGTGTCTGCGAAAAGACGGCCATGCGCAATGCCCAGATGTCGAAGAAGCCGAACCAGACGGAGGCGAGGCGGAGCGCACCTACCACCATCAGCCACCAACTCAGTGCCTTCATCTCTCTCTCTCTCTCTCTCTCTCTCTCTCTCGTTCTCGCTCTCTGAAGCGAGTTATATAAAGGCTAAAATGAGCCTTAAGCACATGCACTAAGTGTTTATATATATATATATATATATATTTCGTATATACCCCTTTAAATGTTAATTTAGTATATTAAATATTATTAATCTCAAATAGATGACTGTAATTTGACTATCAGAGAAAATTTATATAAGTTACAATTAGTACTAAACTATTTTTAGAGATTTTATGATATTTAGATTTCATGTATTTATATAATTAAAGTTTAATTTAAGTTAGCAATTGCTAAAAACAGAGGTTAGACATGTTTTTCTTTTGTACATTGATGAAAGGGATACAATAAAACGATTTCTTAAAAAATATTCATATTTTATATATTTATAAAATATTATTTTTTTTTATTTTTTTATTTATACATTCTAATTTAAAAACTATCCACCCCTCCTCCTCCATAAATACTATGTTAAATTTTTTTTAGGAAAATCATCATAAATACCTTAAAAGAATCCATCTTACTGTTTTACTGAGACATACATTAATTTTAACAACAAAAAAATGTATTATGAAAATTGCATTCCATTAATCTCGAATTAAATTATATCAGCATCGTCATGGACTTCTTCCAAAGATCAGCGGAATTGGACTTGCAGTTAAGGGGACTACCCTCACTTTTTTAGATGCTAGAAACCTGCCTCTGTTGTGATGGTTCATTTACTACTTGGTGTGAGACTTTTAGTTACTTGACTGCAAGGTTGGACGCAATGAAGGGATGACTCAAATTAAAGCTCTGTGGACGCACCGATGGAGGAATCGTAGATACATGGGAAATCAATTAAATGGTACGATCTTGCTCAACGAAGACCAAAGAAATGATGTCTATCGAAGTAAATAATTAAATATATGAAAAATTGATTCTAGTGAAGGTCATAAAAGGCAACCTTTTAGATAAGGGTAAATAATAGATAACCCAGTCGAAAAAGAGAGTTCCATTGCCGGGATTTGAACCCGGGTCGCCTGGGTGAAAGCCAGGTATCCTAACCGGACTAGACGACAATGGATTGATGTGTAGTTGAACTACGAATTCTATTTATGTTAGATTGCTTGGTTTCTCCTAAAAACCCCTATAACTAAAAAGTGACTAAACTTTATTTATTATATTCTAAATATGAATTTGTAGCAATAAATTTTTATAATTAACATTGATTCAATGTAAAGAAATGGAAGTTTGATGCATAATTATAAACATGGCTACACATAGTATACATAGCATGTATTTTACATGGTTAAGAGACATATTTTACATAGCAGACAATTACAAAAAAGAAATTGTAGTCAGGAATTCGATATAACGGTAGCAGAGATTAGACAAAAATTTCACACAAGCATACAGAACAAATTTCAAAGTCATGTTAATTTATCTGGAGGGATCGGAAAACCTTCCTATTTACATAGAACTCTCTGTGGTATTTACTATAAAAAAAATTCTAATATTAATCATTGAAAATATACATGCACGCCTCTTCTAATAAGTAGAGAGGATCCACATTTACATCATGGCTTACAATTTTTTTTGTGTACAAGGCAAGCAATTGATGGGATTGAGATGAGATGCTGCAATTCATGTAGGTCTCACCAGCAGGAAAAAAGAATAATCTGAGAAAGTACCATCACTTCAAATCCAGGAGTGCAGAAAATTCTTCATGGAGATTGAAATCAAACAAGTGTACAGAGAGAAGTTTGATTGTTCCCTCAAAAAAGAATATCTGGATTGTTCTAAGATGCTGCTGTATCACTTAGTTCATCCTCAAACTCTACTCGCTTTCCAGGTACAAACTTCCTGTTTTCAGAAACAAATTAGTGTCAATAAAATAAGTAATAGAGGAAGAACGGTATCAGTGAACTAAGCATGTGCAGCTTTGCAGTAGAGCTCTTGCCATTATACAAGCCAAAGATTGTGTTGCTAAAATTATTTTAAGCTAACATTGGTCAAGCTCGGCTAAAGTAATTGTGGGTCATTCCGTTTAATTTTCCAACGAAACAATCACCATAGAATTTTTTGCAAAAAGTTCTGTAACAGGGAAGGAATGTTTTTACAAATGTAGTAAAGATCATCTATTTCTTAGACAATCAACTGTTCACAAAACAGGAATCCTGAGAAGGCAAGATTAAGCTAAAGATATTCATATTCTAGAAACTGAAGAATATAACTATGGAACCTCAGAAAAACAAGTGCAAGCATCAGCAAGGAAAAGAATTTGTGGCCGCAAACTGAGCCATTAATTACATTGTCAACCGGGTTCAGGTAGATATATGCAGCTTAGATCCAATAACAAGAAAAAGATGGTATTAGACCTTTTTGGCAAGGAATTTTCATCAGAGAGTGCCTTCTCTAGTCTTTCTTCGAATGGTGTTGCATGCCAGCTCACTTTCTGATCCTGCTGCACAGAAAGCTTCTTAGAAATAATAGTAGAAACAACGGATTGAATGTATACGGATGTAGGGAAGTTACAAATTTCACCTCTTTGTACTTGTTTGTTGAGTTTGGAATTCCATTTCCATCCCACTCTTTTGGTGATTTATGTCCAGGTTCTTCCTCTTTCCAGTGTGCTGCAACCATGCCAAGGATAGGCCTGTCTTCATAAGAACTCTTTCCTGAGTGGGATTTTTCCTTAATCTCATTGTGTTCATCTTTAGCGATAGGAGGTTTCAACCATTGAGATAAGCTTGTGGTTACTAAATCTGGGTACTCTGGTCTCAATAATGTCTTATCTCTGGGTGTCTCCAATCTGCTTGGAGATGTGTACCTCGGGGTGCCAGACAATTCAGCTTCCTCGGGATCTGTTACAAGTGATATCTGTTGAATCTTCTCTCCAGCATCAGGAATATTATTTGTTTTATGATCAGAACTGTCATATGATTGTAATGGTTCTGATGAATCTTCATTCAATAATTTCTGCCTGGAAAGATTTTCCACAGGATTGAGAATTGGAAATATATACTGTGTTCCAATCCTAGTATTTTTCTCATATTTAGTGTTCCCTAGATTGGTCGGATAAACAGTTGCAGAAGTCTCCATCTCATCAGTCACTTCCACTGGAGTAGGAAAAGGTAAATTTTTTGAAGCAAATGGCTGATTACATGGCTCATGCTGAGATGGAAGGATGTCTGCGGTATGACCGTCCAATTTTGGTTCAACAGTATATTCATTTTGTACACTTTCAAAATTCTGATTTACTGAAGGTAAAGAATATTCGCAGCACTGTGGAGTTTGGTGGCCCTTGAATGTAAAGCTAAAGTAGAAATCAATCAGAAACATGATTGACGATTGCTTTCAGTTAAAACAGCATAATGACAGAAGTATTAATCATAAAAAGGCCAAAAGAAGACACTCTTACCACTCGGTATTGCTTTGTGAAATACCAGCATTCTCTTGCTCCTGTGACGGACATCTGGAAACCTTATAATTTTCATCACAGAGAAGTTCCTTACAAGAAGCACCGGGAAGTTTCGAGACATGATTGGAAGATAGACCTTCCTTAGCAGGAGCTTGAGCGGTTTCAATTCGTGATGCTTTTTGAATTTCTTCTGGAGTTCGCAGAAGAGCACCAGAAGCCTTTAAGAAATCAGTCTGTTCAAAATTTTGAAGTATTGGGTTCAGACTTAACAATCTTCACAAGCACAAGGACCCAACAAAAAAATGCAACGCTTCAAGTCCTTGAAATGTATTACTGATTTTGCACAAGATTTCCTAAGCAATACATCAATGATGTCTGTTCTTTACCACTTCATGACTCGATAATTCACAGTACAGAATGTGGTGATTCCATCAAAATGAAATTCTAATGGACTGAAAACTCACCCAAAACAAATTTACAATTTTTATTTGTAATTAATACAGTTCTCATGATAGTTACACTACAGATTTTGGGGTTAAATATGCTTATTATTGCTCCTAATCAGTCATGTGTTAGATTTATGGGCAAAGAAGCTACATAGAGGCCAAATTTTTTTCGTGTTCATCACTTCACCTAGCGGTCACTAAAGCTGCAGACAAGTTCCCCAAGAGTAGTTTGAGTTTTAATTATATGTAACACTATATAACATTTGTTAAAGAAGGTTTTATTAAATAAATTTAAGAAACACTTTACAAAGATCCATCATTTCAAATTTTGCAATAAGAATAAAAACTAAAATATGCAAATCAAGTATGTAAACACCAGTCCATATTGATCATTACAAATTAGCTAGACCAGTATGGTAGATCAGTACAATGAGTTTATAGCTGTAAAGCGCGAAGATGATAACTGAAGGGGACTCATTTGATTGATTTTACAAAATTTTTTGCAGTTATTTATTTGTTAGACTCACTTAACCATATGGCCTATGTTGACCCATGCTTGACAAGGATTGGGTTTAGAATTAAATTTGCACTAGGCATGCTCTAGCTGATTGAAGTGGAATATTTCAGTTGACCATAAATGCTTGTTCTCTCAAACAGTCACTTCTCTTGTTGGATTAGGGAGCCGTGAAATATTAGAACAAACAACTAGGGTCTAGTCTTTTATGGTGACTCAACCTAGCTGCAACCCCTCTTGTGATCAGCATGTATGAGGCATGTACACCAATTTCAACCCTTTATGGGCTAGGCCAGGATCAGCCCAGCACTGTGCTGAGTCCAGAATTCAAGCCATGGGCACTGTTTAAGCCCAGCCCAGTACTGTATGGAACCCAGTTGACCCCTAATTGAGGATGAATCAAACCAATTTAATTGATTTTGACCAATCCAAGCCAATTTAACCTAGATTGGACCCAACCAAGTCTAATTTAGACCAGTTTAGGGTGATTCCAAACTAATTATATTAGGATTTCAAGTCGGTTCAATTAGATTATAGTTGAATTGAGTCCAATTCGAGTCAATTGGACTAATTCACGTAAGGTTCAGGTCAATTAAGGATTGCCTAGGAGATGACTTCTTCTGTTATTGATGTTGAATGGATATTTATGAGTCTATATGGTACCACTAAATCTGAGACGAACATATTATGAAATGATATATGAATCTGATATGATACGAGCACAAACCCTGCTTAAGCAGGAAGTCCAATATACTGGTAGGGCGATTTCCTTAAGTGATCTAATGGGTTATCAGACGTGACAGCTAAACGATTCCTCCATCCGTTATTGAGAAGAACGTGTTACCATTGGTGATGAATACTACGTCATCCATTATTGAGAATACGATATGAATTCTCTTCATCCACTACCGAAAAAATATAGAATTCGTCCCGAGGGACAAAGTATCTTCATCCATTGTTGGGAGAGTACTCCAACAAGTGTTCGCTCTACACCAAAAGTTCATAAGATCTAAGACTGAGAAATGTTTGTGCTACCGAAACTGGTTACTAAGATTTATGACTTGTTTTGATTACTTATTATGACTTATTGATATTTGTTCATAATATATTATTGATTTTGTTACATATTTTGAGAGGATATTTAGGAGATTCCTACTCAACATTACTGATTTCTATTGTTTATATTTTTTAGAGCAACTTTGAGATTCTAATATTGACTCTTAACACATGGAGGAAAATCGTCTATCGCTAGTCACGTGAAGGCTTAGTTCTTGCACTTCTAGTATGAGCAAATAGGGCTTGATTTTATGTAGAGTCAAACTTGTCACAGTTGAAATTTAAATTGAATAAAACTAGTTAATTTATATATTGTTCTAAGATGTTATATGTGAAAAGTATGTCACGTTTGGTGTGCATGTTGTAAAGAAAAAAAAATTTGAGCACAAGATGTGACTTGGCAACCCTAGTTCTGATTCGTGGAGTGCAAGGAACTTCTTCTTTATGCTCTATCAATCTTTATCTTGGTTTAATGTTTTCAGACTAAATTAAATTTTCCTACCAGATATTATAACATAATTCCCTAATTTAATGACCTTATATTGCAGATATTATATAAAGCTTACTAATTTTTCTATGCTGATAGAATATAGAACCTACTAATCTTCATGGAACGTGGTCAGCAAGACAAAACATGCATGATTTGACAATACAGTAGGATCAAAATAGGTTTAATCAAGTAACCACCAAAATAATTGCTTGATGACTTGTTGCCATTTTTATCGAACAGAAACTAGAAACAAGCAATTGAGGGTTTTGAAACTCCTGGAAGTGACATCACATAACAAATACTAGAGCAATATAGATTACTTAAATGGATATATGTATTGTATGATCATAGTTAGTAGATAAATAACAAAATATGGTTCGAAGATATGTACAAGCATCTCTAACAGGTAGATTAAATGCAACACTTTAAGCAAATGCCTCATTGCAAAAGGAGAAAAAAGCTCATTCATTTAAAAGGGAAACTTAATATGTGGAACCTCTTGTCATTTTATCCAAAACAAATGCCTTGCAGGAGGAGATAGAAGCTCATTTCTTTGAAAGGGAAACTCAAGACTTCGGACATCTATGACTTCAGGGCTTAGTAAGTCTCAGACTTAAGCAGCTTTGTGTGGATTTAAAAAAGTTTTTTCAATTAAAAAGCCCCCACAATGCATAAATCACAATGATACGACTTCATAGTTGCATCAGGGGCCACCAACAGCCTCCTACTTTTCATCTAGCTTTTGTCCATAAAAGTTTTGTTGCTAAAACTTTTCTCCTCAGTGTTATCCTGATGTGATTTTTCTTGAGGAGACTGTAAAAGATCAGTCTCCTTTAGCATGAATGCCAGGGTTGATAATGTTGTCAGCACATAATGCAATGATGATGACCCAAGGCAAATTTGGTTGTGAGAATGCAAATCTTGCACTTAAAATTCCAGACATAATAGATAATCTTATAATATACGACCCAGAATTTAAAATAAAATTAAAAGATCGTGTCTTGGTATTCCAATACTCGATCCATTTCATTGGTTCAGTGACGTTTATATGATGCAGGTGATAGAGATCAAACAAAAGAGACAAAACCACGAAACTAATCATCATAGGATCATAGTTAAAGAAAAATGAAATGCATCACATACCTCGTGTTTAAGTTCCCCGTATGAGCCATCTTTATGAACGTTGTCCTTCGCACTTGACTTGGAAACTTGCTTGGAAAGAGAACCATGATCTACAAGATGGATTACGGAAAAATTCAGAAGACACGAGCTCCATGAATACGATCCGATTAAAGGACAACGTCTCGTACCCTCATTTACGAAAAAGGACTCGAGCTGCCTCTTCGACACCAAAGATCCCTGATTAATCTACGGAAACCACGCGCATTTGGTGGGTCAATTGGCAGAGAGCAAGAAGCATCGCCCAATTCCGCGAAAAGAAAACAATCTGACGACAATCACAAGAGGAGAAATGGAGCATCATCAAACCGATGCCATACCTTGCTTGTAGAAGGACGCGACCTGGGAACCGGCCGATCCCTTCTTCGTCCGTTACTACCTTCGGGTCGAAAGCATCGAAATAGGCAGCCCATTCCCGGAGGACGACGCCCCTCGGGAGAACCCAAAATTTCCTCTCCCGACGACGCAGAGGTTCGATGGAATTAAATGAATCAACAGTCGAAGAGAGAGAGAGAGAGATGTGTGGTGGATCGATGGAGAGATGTGGATGTCCCAAACTCGGAGGAGAGAGAAGGAGAGATGGCGAGAGAGGCGGAGAACAGCTTCGTGTGTGTGTTCGTTTTCTATTTATTTATTCGAAATTTAAATTGGGGACAAGGAGGGAAGGAAGGCAGCCTAAAATGGAAACATGGAGCCGTTTCTCTTGTGAACCCGGTCCTGTTATTTATTTTTGGTAAGAGGCCTCCTCTTGGGTTGCCTCCCTCCATGTTCATGTCTCCTATATCTATAGATTTTTTTTGTTTTTTGACAAAGAGTATGTATTTTCTATTCCGCTACGACTCGAATTGCTTGAGATTTATTCATGATCAAATTCATGGTAAGTCAAGATGACAAGATTAACGGATAATACCGTAATCGGGTAATATAGACAACATATGTTTTTTAAGAATTAACTTATATTAAGCAAACAAAAACATACATCATTATGTCGGGAATAAACACATCATATATTCCATAGTTCATTATAATGATTTATTCTACCAAAATGTGTTATCCTATATTTAGTGAGATTGTGCACCAATCCAAAAAAAAAAAAATCCAGGATGTTAATGTTGACACTCAGAAAATTATGAGTGAAGATAGGTTGTTTTGTGACTTATTTACATAATATTATCTTTTTATAAAATGTTAATGATGAACATAGGATTCGAACTTAAGACTTAAAGATAAATTACTAAGATCTTTACTCGCTAAATTAATTGATATCTTTTGTTTATGTAAACTTTTTTTGGATGTGTCAACTAGTAAAGATAATGATAGTTTACTCTAAGATCCTAAGTTCAAATCTCAATATTATGTAAATTAGTAAAAGAGAAACCTCTATTTTCTGATAACTCGGCAAAGAATGATAGAACAGAGATCTGAATCAAACAAACTCGGGTAGCATTCAAGAATTGGATCTTATCAGAATGAGTTGAATCCTGTTGCTCTGAGTGCAATGGATGGCTCGATGCTGCTGCCATTTCAACAAGTGCTCGACGGAAGAAACAACGGGCGCGACAAAGAAGAAAGTTATCTTCAAGCTGATGCATGCACCACTCCCTGTGTTCTGCCGTGAGCTGATATGCACAGTTCCAAAGCCACATGCCCTTAAGCTCCCTGCTTCCACAGAAAGAACAGAGAGAGAAAGAGAGAGTAATCGTCCAGAATAGGTGATGTACAGGGAAGAAAACAATGGGGAATAGTGTCAAACAAAGTACTGAGAAGTATCTGTTTGTTGTTTACCAAAGCGACGGCCGTATATACCAATTTCATCTCCGGCAAAACAAACCATATTCAATGCTCTCTTCCTTTTCAATCCCAACAAAAGATCTTTCTTTCGTATAAGCTTCTTACGTTCTACAGAGAGAGAATTAATTGTGTGGATGGAGTTCCTTCAGACTTAGTAGATAGAATAGAGTTGATGGTGACGACGATGTAGCTAAGTAACGACGGAGCAACAGCGTGTAGCCACGGAACACGTAGACAACGATGACGTCGATGTTGGGGAGACGAAGGGATAACAACGACGAGGCGGTGCATGGCCACGTACACCTCGATGAACGACGACGAGCAGGCACGCAGCTATACCGTAGTGGTCACAAGATCAGCACACTGCGTCCGACATCTCCGCTCTTTAATGCGTTTCGTTGAGCGGCAGATGGAAACAAAGACATGACGTTATGACTGTTCATCGACTCAGCCATTCCAAATCCTTTGTTTTGCCGATTTATGTTCTGTTCTAAGTAGAATATAGCCTTGAATGCTGGAATTTAACTTCGTTTAGACTATTGCTATGTTCGAAGTATGGGGACTCATTTTCTCTGCGAATTGGAAAGCCTGGATCTTCTATAGAACAGGATAGGAAATCTTTGCAGATAATGATGTCTCGCCCTCTTCCAAGCTCCCCAATCCGGCCATGGTTATAAGTGAGAGAGAGAGAGAGAGAGAGAGGGAGAGAGTGAGTTGTGATTGTTTAATCAAAGATTGCAGTGGCAAAGTGGAAGAACACTGGAGGTCTGGAAAAGGTCAGCTATTAGCAATTTTATGCCTGAGTTGAGTTGGATTTCTTGTGTTCTTGGCAAATTGATGCCTTTTCTTCCTCCTTTCTCTACTTGTTCTTCAGCAATTTTATCATTAGATCTTTCTGTTGTCTTTCTTTTCATATCATTGCTCCTAAATATTGTTAATCTTCTTCATGAGAAGTGATCTCACAAGATTGAGAAGACAATTAGCATCGGAGATGTTACTTCAGATAGTTCTCTGAGCAGCAACATTCCTGTATGCCCTGTGTTTCCTGAATTGTAGTCAGCAATCTATCAATGAAGCAGTATGCCCCCAACTGGAGTTTGGTAGATCAAAAGAAACCCATGGGGTAAGTCTCCTCCTTCCTCTTCTCTCTTACATCCTATAGGTTTAACATGGGAAATCAACTTCGATTAACCTTACAAATTTCTTGCTCCTCCCCCTTTTCTCTTTCTCGATCTTGCAGGCTGGACAGTGAGCTTGTAGAACTGCTGTGGCAAGATATGCATGTTGCCATGCATACCCAGAGTAATCACGGAGCCTCTGCCATCAATGATGAATCCAAACCAGATCAAGAACCACAATGCGAGCGGTCACTTGATAGATCCGCCGGCCTGATCCAGGTCGACGAAACCGTGTCATGGTTGCAGTACCCTCTCGACGACCCGCCAGCCAAAGAATTCTGCTCCGACTTCTTCTCGGAAATGGCGGGCATCGGTGTCATCGGTGTGCCCACTGAGAGCACTGCTTTCACAGCAACTTGTCCTCCTAGGCCACCACAGAGTTGTAAGGCTCAGGCTTCTTCGTTTGGTGATGGAGATGCAAGCATCTGCGGAAGTAATCAGATCCATGCACAGGCTGATCTGAGCAGGGATTCTGCTGCCGCTGCTACTAAAGGAATGCCATCAGAAACTGAGCAGAAACACGCGTATGAAACTACTCTTACTTCATCCTCGGGAGGTTCTGATTGCAGCGTCAGAAGAATGAGAAAGCAGATTTTTGGAAGCAATCGGAGTCAAAAGAGAAGGAAAAGAGATGCGGATGATCAAAGCGAAGTAATATTTTCCTCTCCGTCTATCGATCTTGATTTGTGTCATAGATACTTGTTGCGCAATCTCCAAAACCAATTCCACTGGCATTTGCAGGAGGCTGAGATCGAGTCGATGGAGGCGAAGAAGCTGGCTCAGCGATCGACGGCTACTCGTAGAAGCCGAGCTGCTGAGGTCCACAACCTCTCCGAGAGGGTAAGAACTGATGAAGAACTATTAGAATGAATGAAGTGAGTCATGGAGGAGCTCACTGTCATGTGCAATCTTGTGCAGAGAAGAAGAGACAGAATCAATGAGAAGATGAAGGCACTGCAAGAGCTGATACCTCGTTGCAACAAGGTGATCTGACTAAGAAAATTCTATCTTTTCCTGTGCTCTTGATGCATTTTATACAGCTATGGAATCAAAAGCTTACAGTTCTCGATAGTAGTAGCAAACTTTACATGTCTTAGTTTTGAGAAAGTAAGATCGTTAGAGAACAGCATCAAATGCAAATTAATGCTTCGAAAAACGACAATCCATTTCCAATATAGTCTGTGAATTGAAGTTCTGATCATGTTGCACACTCTACATGCTCAGACAGACAAAGCATCAATGCTGGATGAGGCTATTGGATATATGAAGTCACTTCAACTGCAAGTTCAGGTCTGGAAATTTGATGGCTTAGCATTCAGCATTCTCATATGCCAGTAATGAAATTTCTCACATAATTATTGTCATACATTTGGCAGATGATGTGGATGGGAAGTGCCATGGCACAAATGATGTTCCCAGGTGTCCAACAATACATGTCTCATGCTTCTGTTCCTTGGATGCATCATGCAGTTCAAGTACCAAGTGTGCCAGTTATACACCACTCTGCAGGCTCATACACAAACCATTTATGCCTTTCTCCAGCCCTGCATGCAGCCAATTTCCAGAATCAGATGCAGGGCTTCCATGTCCAAGAATCATCATATGTCCCCTGCCATGGCTTTCATCATCTTCAACCTCATTCTCAGGCTTGTAGCTCCATCTTTACACCTCTTCACCTTTGTCTATTTGCTGAGATAACTCCCATGTAATCTAATGCAGGAGACCAATCCATGCAGCCATGGATCACTCACAGAGCAGCAGAATCATCCAGCAGCTATACCTTGTAGCAGCATCCTCCCTTGTGCTGGACCAGCTCCTTGTGAAAACACCATTGACAGCATATCTGGTAAGATGGACATGTTTGATCAAATCTTTCCATAGTACGAATCTCTCAAATGACAGCATACTTTAATGAATATTGGATTGCTTTTGATGAGATTTATGTATCACTTGGGATGGTGGGACAATGGAATAGACTTTGCAGATGTACACTATTTGCATGATCTTTTTTCCTATTTATTCCTTTTTCATCTAGGCATAAATGAAAATATACTCTTAAAATAGCTTCTTTTAGCTTTGCAATATTGCTAATATTTGATATATAGAAAAGAAACTGTTCTGACAATTATTTTTGTGCATCAGAGTGATTGCCAATGTCAAATTTCAACTCCATACTTGGAGAGGACCCTGTGAGCTCTACACAGGTGATTTGGCTGTTCAAGAGTCACTGTATCAATAATTTTTGTTTTATGCAAAAGATGAGGATCATCATAAAACCTTTCCTGTTACAAAGACACAACACAATGATGTAAATTCCATTTGGTGCACCAACAAAGTTCTGCTACCTTCAAAATGTTGAACATAATATAATATACTTGCATTTACAAAATGTGCATACTTGGTTTCCTATGTCACAGTCATTAGTTCTCATAAGTATTGCATGCTTTCAACTGTCTGACCTTTGTAAGATTTACAAACTCAAAGAAACTTAAATACAACTTCATGTTTTTCTAAAAGTAATTTATTTTGACATTAACCTCAAATAAAATTCATACTGGATACAGTCAATGTCAATTCCAAACTTAGATGAAAAGGATAAAAGGTTGCATTAGACATATTAGAGAATTAATATTAATGGTTTGAGAAAAAGTAGAGGAATATTTAAAAATAAATAAATATTCTTAATTTATAGGTGGCCTCAAAATAGTGAGGATATTAGAAAGGAAAACATAGAGAAGAGATCATTGGAATTTCCATCACTAATAATCACATAAAATTAGCAACTTGCCCACTGAGCTTTCTGTTATAAACTTCAAAAAGAATCTTGCAATTTCTAAACCAAAGTAGAGGATAAATTCTTCTAATATTTGTTTACAGAATAATACTGTAGCTACTTTGCTGATGGCATGGTATATTTCTGATTGTCCATTATAATGTTCTGTACCTTATCTTTCTTTTGTACAACTGATAGTACCTCATTTCTTTTTCTAATACTCAGAAGATATTACCAGATCTGTGCAGGCATTTCCTAGGATCTACTAGGTTACAGTTCTAGAGATTGGAGTGTCTGCTTTATAGTAACTGAGAACAAGACAAAGAAAAGAAATATATATTGACATTCTGCTTTCAGGCTTGCAAACATGCTGATCTTGATGACCAAATGGTGGATGCAGTCAGCTATGATGTCCAGGGACAGTGAACCAGGATGAAGCAGCAAATGCCTTCTTGGGGGAGGAGAGCAGCAAATCTTGAGAATCTCACCCCAGTGTACTTTAACAAAATCCCCTCAGGAGCCACCAACTTTTGATTAGGTCTGCAGACAGACCTAATTGCACTCTGTTATCTTCTCTATTATTTGATGTTGGAAGCTTGAAAGAGACTGATGGCAATGATACGCCCTATCCAGAGCATGGCCTTAGTGTACCAATTAGATCTCAGATTTTCCTTTTATTGTTCTTCTTCTGTCACAATCCAATTTTCACTTTGAAACATAGTGCTGTTTAATCTTGTTACATGAAGCTCTTGTTGCAGTCTCTTTCAATCCACGCTGGGATTTAATCCAAAAACAGGTTCAGAAGATGGAACACCAGCAGATTGAAGTGCATGGGGATTCATTGCAAGTATTAAAGACAACCATCCACAGGATCACATGGACTCTCAATCCTTGAACGATTAATCTATCAAAGTTGAGAAGATCTAAGTCTAATTTTCTCACATGATTATGATGAAGAGAACCATACAACAGTTTCATCATATCGTTGAATTTTTTGGGGAAATGTTAGCTACTGAGATCATAAGTGGTCTCCTGTAGATATAATGTTCTGCGCAACATTTAGTAGGCATCAATCAAATAGCAATCCTATCATTCTGCATTTTGCTTCCATAGTTAATCTTTCTTTGTTTTTCGGCTCATGGATCAATCAAACTGCAAAAAACCTGAGCATATACCAATCCTTCCCAACAAATTCTGAAGGCAATCGACCTCATTTCCAGCATTACCAATTTGCTTGGTGAGTTCCAGCATTCTCAGAATCCAAGTTAGAGAACTGTCAATGACTCAATGGCAATAAGAATTTGGAAGTGTCGATGTCAACAACGCTTATGGATGATTCTTGCACTTGTGTGCTCCTTTCCATTGGCATTTTCCAGGTAAACCAACACAAAGATCATGCTGTTAAAACAAGATGTGTCTCACTTGATCACCACAATATGATCCGAAATATGATTACTATAAAATATTGTCACTGTATTATGATGCGAGGTCAATTATATGATGAGAATAATTTTGGGAACACGAATTGTGTGACCACTGTCTACTGTTTTCATCCTCCTCCTGTATCTGTCGTGCAATGTGCAATGAAAAGTACTGCATCTAATGAGTTCAAGCCCACACATTGACCTTTTCACTTGGGTTGACCATTGAACTGGATTTTAGGTTTGACCACAAAATTTGGAGCCATTGGATATGCTTTTCAAGTGAAGGTACATTATGATATTGTGATAATAAATATTACATAATCAAGTGTTGCACTTCCATTTTGCCTCTTGTGACCAAATGCTTCCCCAAATTTCCATTGACACAAATTGTCACTAAATGTTGCTCAACATAAACCAAAAAAAAAAAGAAAAAAAGACTCATGCAAGACATGGGAGTAAAAGATACAAGTAATATGAAATTTTTTTTTTTTTTTATGGGCTTTGATCAAAATTTAGATTAAGCCAATTAATTGACAAGGCCAAGAGAATGAATAAGGTCAAGACCAGGTTATCTAGAGGACTTTGAGATTTAATTTGGAACACTTAACACATACAAATTGATCATAATTGGGTTTATAATTTTTCCTTTCCATTTTATCTAAAAATCATTCTTACGATGACACCTTAGGAGGGATAAAGCAAATATTTTTCTAGCTTTCTCGTGCACAAAAATTCACTTTTACTAACAGCAAGCAATAACCTTTGGTGACAAAACAACATCGATCATCCAAAATAGCCTATATGGCCAAAAGAATTACATCACTAAAATCCTATTGCAACAGACTTTAACCTTTACCTTTTTTTTATTTTTGTTAACAGTAAATTCGATCGTAGAGCATACAATTTCGTAATATGATTCTCAGATATGTTCCATACTGTCATCCCCCAACTTATGTGAGGTGTAAATCGAATGCAAACACTCCTTTGTAGAACATAGATTTCACTCCTTGAACGCTGCTATTAGCAAAACAAAAGACGGATAGCAGCTACAGGTGGATTTCTACAGCGACCTTTAAGGCGATATATACTTTCAATTATTTAATTATTTTATATATGTCACTCCAATCAACATACATAATCGAGCTCACGTTAAACTACCAGCGACCATGATATATATATATATATATATATATATATATATATATATATATATATATATATATATATATATATATATATATATATATATATATATAGCGCGCTCTCTATATAGATATATATATCAGAAGATATGATCAAGGTCGGCCCATG